TTTTGATGAAAAAGTCCGAATTCTGAGAAAAAAAAAGTCCGAATTCTGACTTTAATCTCAGAATTCTGAGAAAAAAAGTTGAATTCTGACTTTTTTCTCAGATTTTTTTTTCCAGTGGCCCTAATCCTCTTCCGTAGCTGATCCTCCTACTTACAGTTAACGTTGATTTCCTGATTACACGCATGTCCGCGTGACCCACAAGTGCCGCGAGCTAGCCACATCACCCTTCCGGTTCTCCGATTCTGCAGGGCATGGAAAACAAGCAGGGAGCTGCCCTTACATTTATAAGGCGGGCTCAGATGTGCTTTCACAGCCACTGTGATTTATGGGATACTTAGTCTGGTGCGTTCTGAAAAATAGCCTCTGTGGAGGCGATACTAAAGACGGAGGATGTGTTCCCTCTCACCACAAAACTGATGTTGGTCTTGTTTGGTGCTCTTCAGAGAAAAATTACATTCAAATCTTAAATCTTAAATGAACAATGATAATCCTTTTGTTATTTTAAAAAGAAAGCAAATATAGTGTACTCACCAAGCCTAGCACAGGCCTACGATGCAAGTTCCAACTTCATATATTTGTGGATTCTTCAAGGCAGCTTTGCATGACTTCTTATTTGTCTCTCTTATACCAAGTCCTTTTGTAGCCCTTCAATTCATCCACTGTATGAAATAGGCTGTTTTAGTGTAATTTCCCTTCCTTACCTTTTAAACCACCTTTCTTTTGACTGGCTGACTCTTACAAACAGAAGGTTTGAATGGCTTCAATGCTGACAGCCACAGCTCTATGGCTAAAATGACTGCATAAGGGCCGTCGTGAAAGATTTTGAGTATAGAAAAAAGTGAAGCCTGAGCTTTTGGCTCACATTACTTGCACATATGGTGAATTCATATGGTTAAAATGATAAAAAGTCATAACGATCCTCTTTGATCAAATAAAGATTTTGTGTAATGACCACTTACTGCAATCTAAAAGGAAGGGCTGAACCAATATCTGGGGAGTCCCCTTTCCAAGTTCCCACCTAGGCTTCCAAATCAGATAGACAAGAGGTCAGACAAAGAGACGGACAGCTGCTGTTTCCTGTCTCTGGGAACCATGCTGATACTCCAGTCCCACTTCTATTCAGGGGAACGTGGGGTTTCCCTCAGCTGCAGCAGAGGGAGCAGGTGGGACAGCGCTGCTCTGTATGTGCAGATGTGGGCAAGTCTGTTTTTAGTTGATGTTCAGTAAAGGATCATTCATGTACGATCAAACTTCTGTGCCTGAGCATTCACCAAAGCTTTCACTTTACTCTTCAACTTGAAATGACGGCTTACTGCCGTCACTAAAGAAAATGAAAAAGAAACAAATGCACACCTTCCAGTTTCATCTGCATCACTCAGTGTTTATTCCTGTGACTGAAATCCAAACATTTGATTTCCCACAATTTTGTTTGCCAGTCTTGATATACAGGTGCATTGTGGGTAAATGCTACTGGTTCCCAAGCCGTCAGACAGAGCAGCACTGAGTGATTAATGTGACCCAAAAGGCCAAACAGATGTGACTCGGTTCCAGGACATGCAGGCATTAACAGTGTGTCGGGGCAGGGCTGAATAAGAACATAACCTACACCGTCATCTAAACACAGTGCAGCGCGAGTGCAGAGGCAGTGGATGTAACTCAATTACTTAATTTTTCTTTTTTAATCCCAGAACTACACAAACATCCTCCTGTCAGTCTGGATATTTATTTACAAAACATTACAGTTACCACTTTTCATGGGAGAAAAATCACTGAAAGCATGTTTGACTGTGTATTTCCACAGGGTTTGAGGACTACAGAACAACACGATAAAACACCACACACACAGAAATCTTCTCAGTTACTCAGCCTGATTACACTTCATCAATATTGCGTAGGTGTGGGCGAATACTTTGCATCACGCTGACCCCAGTAAAT